CCACACGGCCAGCGGGCCCGCCGCTGCCGGCGTCGCTCGGCGGGCGCGGGCAGTCTGCGATGAACGGCGCGGGGGCGCGGGCTGGCGCGGCGGCGGGCCGCGGCGCCGGCCCTGCCAACGGTGGCGGGCTCCCAGGCGGCGGCGGTCCCCAGCCGCCGACGGCGCGCGCGCAGAGCGGCTCACGCGGCGCCGGCGCCGCGACGCCTGGCCGGCAGCCAGCTGGCGCGCCGAGCCCACCTGTGAACAAGGCTGCAGGCGCACGGGGTGGCGGCGCTGGTGGCCCCACGACACTGCAGCAGCAGCAACAGCAGCAACAGCAGCTTTTGATGCCCGGTTTCCCACCCCAGATACCGTTTGCGCAGCTGCAGCAGCTTCAAATGGCGCCGATGCCAGGCACGCCGCACGGCCTGCCTATCTCCCTGGGGCCGGACCAGGGGCTAGGAATGGGCATGGGTGGCGGCATGCTGCCCACCGCATTTCCAGGCGCGTTCCCCGGCTCCCTGCCGCTGCCCGGCGCCGCCGCGCAGCAGGCGGCGGCCGCAGCCATGGCAGCCCCACCGCCGCCGGGCGCCGACCGTGCCAGCGGGCCGCGGCGGGCGGGCGGCGCCGGCGCCGGCGGCGGGGGCGGGGGAGCGGCGCAGAGCCCGACGCTCGCAGGCACGGGTGTGTACCTGGGTGGAAAGGGGCCGGGCGCAACGCCGCAGCGCGCGCCGCGCGCGCCTAGCGGGCAGCTCCTGGACGCTGGCGGGGACTCCCCAGGCTCGTTCCCGTCGTGGGGCGGCGGCGTCCCGACGCTCATCGGCGCCCCCGGCGGGCGGGGCGGCGCGCCGGGGCAGCAGCCGCTGCAGCCGCCGCACGTTGCGGCGTCCGCGGCCGCGGCGGCGGCGATGTTTGCGGCCGTGGCCGGCGGCGGCCACGCGCAGGGCGGCGGCCTTCTGCCCATCGGCGCGCTGGGCGCACAGCCGCTCGCCGGGCGCGCCGGCGGCGGCGCCAACGACGCCGGCAGCGTGAGCAGCAGCGTGCCCGGCACGCCCGCGGCGTCGTCCTTCCCCCACGCGGTCCCTCTCTCCCCCGCCTCCGCCGCCAACGGCGCGGGCCCGCCGGGCGCGCGCGGCGCCGCCGCGGCCGTGCTGTTTGGCGGCGGCGGGCAGGCGCACCAGGCGGAGCCGCGCTGGTGGATCATGCGCGGCGAAGCCCTGTTCCAGGGCCCCTTCACGGGCGGCCAGATGCTGCAGCAGTATCACCAGGGCGCCCTCCCAGACGGCGTCCACGTCTGCTGCGGCCAGCCCGCCGGCCCGCCCCAGAAGCCCGGCGCGCCGCCCGAGCGGCCGCTGCCGCCGCCGCAGCGGGCGTTTGCGCCGCTGGGCGCGCTGCTGGGCGGCGCGGAGCTGGGGTACGTCCCGCTGCCGGCCGGGGCCGACGCGCCGGCGCAGGGCGCGCCGCTGCTGCAGCACCCGGCGACGGGCGCGGTCGTACGGCTGCCGCAGGTCTTGCCAGTCGCCAGCAGCCCCGGGGGCGCCGGCCAGCAGCGGTATGGGCAGCAGCAGCAGCAGCGGCTGTCGCACACCGGCAGCGTCGGGGGCGACGGCGG